TGATGACCCAATAGTTCCTATTGATCTTCATCATCCAGGACTCACAGTGCAACTATCTATTAGTACTGGTAATATAAAAAATTTTGTATCGTCTGTTGAAAGGTTTGACTTACTCAGTGAACTTAACTGGTCTCAAGCTCTACTTCACCTTGATAGTGTTGATTCTATGTGTACAATACTCAATGACTCTTTGCACAACATTATGTCCAAATGTGCTCCTCTGCTCAAATGTAGATCACGTAGGTTCCCTGCGTGGTTTGGCAAATGTACCATAAATAAAATCAAATCAAAAAATCATTATCTGAAAATGTACAAAAAAAAACAAATACCTTTTTTATTTAGAGCGAGTCAAAAACGACAGAAAATTGATCAAATTGAGTATAGCATCTGACTATAAGTTATACGTCGAGAGATCTGAAGAAATGCTCAAACATAACCCTCGTGGGTTTTGGAACTATATCAACTCAAAGAAAAACAAATCTCGCATCCCAGGAGAAATGATTTATAACGAGAACATACTTTCTTCACCTCTCTCAATAGTCAATGGTTTTGCAACTAACTTCAGTAGTGTATATAGCCAAGATGATGGTATTACCTAGAGTCACTGGATGGTATTAGTTTGATAAGAGTTCGGACACAGAAATGACAACTGTTAGGGTTTTTGAATGTTTAGATTCATTAAGTTACACACCTTGCATTGTGACAATAGCACCATAGTCGTCCCGCGCTTTTTATTCAAAATAATTGTTTGATTTTGACAGTAAATTTTATGAACGTCAGATTTGAAATAAAATGTAATAATTATACTTTCCGAGAAAAAACCAGCTATGGAAATCACTTGCTGTGTAATATATTGTGCCAAATCTGATAAAAATGGATATCATTTATTCAATTTTCCAAAACAAATATCAACCATTCGCTTATGGAAGGAAGATATGAAACGGCCTGGGTGGAAAATCAATTTCAAGACGAGCGAAATTTGTGAGGTACTCATTGAAATTAGCTTCTTATAACAGCATCTGATCACAGAATGAAACTATATTTTAGGTCCAGTTTCGAACAGAAGATTTCAAAATCTGTTTGAGAGAATCTGCTATTCCATCAATTTACAAAGCAGACGATTTCAAAATTCCATTATTATCATCACACAAAATACAGAACAAAATAATTATGCAAAGAGGAAATTACCGTAAAATTACATAATGAACTTGAAATTTGAAAACAAAACTAAGAAACGCAAGGAAACTACAACGTGATATATTATTGAATGGCGTTTTCGATGCCGATCAAATTCCAAATTCAACAGTGAAAAGTGAATAATTATTTATGTATCAAGGGAACGCTGGAGGTTATCGTTTTGGAGATATTTTCTGTATCGATCCATGTTACTTAGATGCTTAGCTCCTAGGGCGCTAATAAGTGAAGTTGCTGAGAACTTTTCAGAAAAATGTATTTGGTATATCGATCCATGTTACTTAGATGCTTAGCTTCTAAGGCGCTAAGTGAAGTTGCTGAGAACTTTACAGAAAAATGTATTTGGTAGGTCTCGTCAAAATAAACTACATTTTTACAAGGAAATGTTTATCGAAAAATGATTTGTTCTCTGTGTTTCAACACCCTCTATCTCCGAAATGAAACATTTCCGGACACAAGCTTATATAGACTTTAAGTCTTAAAATTGTCTCAGGAATACTTCACTTGAACGTATTTATGTTACTTCCTGTATATTGAGAATACCCACCTTTAATTAAATATTAATAACTTCATGTTTTATACTTATCACTGGAGTACAGTTTGCCATACAATAAGGATTAATAGCTATAAGTTTATCCATATGTGTATATTTTCTAATATTAAAACGTTGGTACATGCATTCTTCTCATTTATATAACAGTTGTTCTGCTAGAAGTGTATCACTATAAATTGAAGTGGGTGTTTGTACCCTATATCCATTGTCCATCTACGGCTATGATTGATTTGACAGAAAATATAACCTCTAAAATCGTATTTGACAATCAGGCGCTTCTAGGGAAATTGAAAAGATAAAGAGCAGAATATATGTCTTATTCTTTTATTCACCTAAACCATTGTATTATAGAAAATAGAAAAGGACAAAAGTTCAGCTGTGTCCGAACTCTTATCAAACTAATACCATCCAGTGACTCTAGTATTACCGTAGATTTAAGCGACAACCTATCTGATCTGACAATGATGCCAAGTCACCATTTCTTGAACATATCAACTATCTCCAAGGAACAAATCATTAGTGCCGCAAAAAAAACTCAAAAATAAACTCACTTGTGGTCCCGATGGGATTCCTGTTAAAATAGTCAAAAATCACATCAAACTTCTGGTTGATCCTCTACATATCATTCTCAATCTCGCGTTACAAAAAAACTGTTATCCAAAGATTTGCAAATTGTCCAGAGTATGTCCTGTCTTTAAATCCGGCAACATTACTCATGTGGAAAATTACAGACCAATAGTCATTATATCAGTTTTCTCAAAAATATTCGAGATTATACTATCTGAACTTATATACAATCATGTCAGCTCTTCTCTGTCTATCTTCCAGCATGGATTTGTCAAAGCTAGAAACACTGCATCTAACCTCTGTATTTTTTCACAATTCGTTTCTGATTCCCTTGACCAGAGGAACCAGGTGGATGTAATCTTTACTGGCTTCAGTAAAGCTTTCGATCGCGTGTCTCACCCTCAACTACTGAAGAAGTTGTCAAGCTTTGGTATATCTACTAATATTCAGTTGCTGCTCAATTCATACCTGACAGAACGGAAACTCTTTGTCGAGTGTGATGGAATAAAATCTTCCTGCTTTACAGCCTCATCCGGTGTTCCTCAGGGATCAAATCTTGGTCCCTTATTATTCCTGATATTTATTAATGATATCACTGATCATATTCATTCTAACAAGCTATTATTTGCTGACGATATGAAGATTTATAGAGAAATAAAGGATGAATCAGATTACATTGTACTGCAAGAAGATTTGAATTCTCTGAGTAACTGGTGCATTCAAAATAAACTCCACTTGAATATCAAAAAATGTAAAGTTATGACTTTCACTCGTAAACTTATCCCACTCACATTTAATTATGAACTTGATGGTAACACTCTTATGCGTATCACTGAATCGAAGGACTTAGGAGTTATTTTTGATCAAAAACTGAATTTCTCAAACCATATTGAACATATCATTTCTAAATCGATGAAAAATTTAGGTTTTCTCATACGCAACTGTAGAGATTTCAAGTCGTTCGATTCTTTGAAGAGCATCTACTTATCTATGGTCAGAAGCAAACTTGAGTACTGCAGTGTTGTTTGGAATCCTTCCCATTCCAAATACATTATGGCAATTGAGAACGTTCAGAAGAAATTCTTGAAATTTGCTTATTATAAAAAACATGGTATTTATCCCGTTAGAGGCTATAATTATGACCTCTTGCTACAGGAGTTTAATCTGATATCACTAAGAAAGTATCGCGAAATGAGAGACATGTGCTTTATTTACAAAATAATACACAACCAAATAGATTGTTCAACTTTATTGTCACAAATGATGTTCAATGTACCTCGTTTCTCATCTCGCTCATGTAACACATTTTACTTTCCCGTACCTAACACTGTGTATAACTTCCACTCACCTTCATCAACAATGTCTAGGAGCGTTAACAACACACCCAATGTAGATATTTTCTTTTTGTCATTTGCACAATTCAAACGTGATATTCTCAGCACACTTCCTAATTGATAATTATACATTATGCTCTCATTCACTTAATATTAATTATGCTTAGTATAGGACTACTCTCATCACCTATTATTAATTTTGTACACCTATTAATGGGCTCTTGGGCCTGTTGGATGTAGTTTTTGAAATAAATAAATAAATAAATAAATAAATAAATAATAACGAAAATAGTTTAGTTGGATTTTCCATAATACATGGTGATTCAAAAGTACTTTGACAAACTTCAGTAGGTGATTCCTCACAATATTCTAATATGAATGGTCCCAAATAAGTATACGCTTGGAGAGGCTTCTTATTTTTTTTCAAATATCTTCCGAAATAATGGCACTAGTTGAACGAAAATTGGTATTGAGAGGTTGTTTGAGGTGTCGAATTCGAACCTGATGTTATTATTGCTTTTATTCGTAGAGGGCGCCACTTGCACGTTTTCTTCTTCCGAATCCGAATTTTTGTGAAGCAGCTTTTGCGATGGATCTGACATGATTATCCCATGAGAGAGTGTTGCTGATGGAAATACCGAGCATATATATGGTGGGCTTGGTGGGGATGGTGGTGCCTGACATTACAATATCGGGCATACTGAGTTCCACCTTTCTAGAGAAAATACAGGCTTGAGTTTTGGTGGCGTCAAATTCAACTAGGTTGTTGGTTCCCCAGGCTGTGATTTCAGCAAGGACTTCATTGACAGCATTGACATGCCTGCGCCGTGAGTTCTTAGTTTCCTGGGAGGAAATGGGAATTCTGGAAGGGAACGTAGTATGGAGGGTCTGCAAAGTTGTGGATGGAGCAAGTTGTTGCTCCTAACAGATCATTCAGTAGATCTTCGGTGGCGAAAGCCGTATTGTCTATCATTGATCATTCCTGAGCTCTCCAGATATATGGTAAGCTCAATATTGATGGCTTTCTCCATCACTTTGGAGATTACTGATAACAGGGCAATAGGCCTGTAGTTGTTGGGCAGGTTCTTGTTCCCTTTTTTGGGGATTGGTTGGACTCTAGCTGTCTTTCAGCATGATGGAAAAATACCCGACCTGTACGAGACGATAAACAACTTGCAGAGAATCGGTGTTAATTTTGGTGCACATTCAACCCCTTTATAGATCGCACAAACTAATGAAGGTATACCGTGTATATCGTTTCGTTCGTCTTCCAGAAGGAGCACAACGAGACCCTCGCCAAGATCAACTTCGTGCTCGCCCTCAGCACGTGCGTACTGGACCTGGCCGGGCAGCGGGTTGCCCCTCCTCTGGCCGCCCTTGTCGACGCCGCCCAGCTGCACCAGCCGACCAACGAGACGGCGCGCCGGGCGGAGCAGCTGGTGCTGATGGTGAGGGCGCTGCAGCTGCTCAGCTCGGGGCTGTCGTTGGCCACGCGGCAGCTGAAGGCGGGGCAGTTGAGGCCCAGCACCAGCGTCAAGAACGGTGAGTGGTTAGTTGATTTTAACAATGGGGAAGTTTCATTCAGATGTTCATGAAATAGGGCATCGCCCTAGCTTCTCAGGTAAGGCACTAGCCGTTCGATATCTGGTAATATTTTTATTAATGATTGTGATAGTTTCGTTACAGAAAAGTCACTCTCAATCTGACATGTCTCTCACATTATCAAATATAGGGCGTTACAATTATTATTCCAACACCTCCCCTCCTTGAAAAGAATTTAAGAATGTCAATATTAAACAAAGTGCACCATCCTATCATCAGGACGATTTTCTTGGACTAAAATCCTATGAGGGAGTGGAAGAATATTCATCAAATTGAAAGTGTTCAATATAATTTTCTCCGATTCTCTCAATTTAATAACAATCAGCAAAAACAAAAATTAGTGACAAAATCAAAACAACAATATACAGGGTGTCCGCTGAAAGGAGGTCAATCCATTAACCATATATTCCTTGAACAAAAATAATATGAGTTTCTAAATACCATATTAATCTCAAAATAGGTACATTACTTCAGCACAAAGAGTTACATCGTGTGAGGAAAACAAAACAGAAAATAACTGTCAAATATTCAAAATACTGGGGGTCAAGTACACACTTACCCCCATATTTTTTTTGTACGTGCGCTAATGACTTCCTATCTATTTTTCTTCATGTGTTCAATCATTTTTGAGTATTTTTTGATTTTTGTAAAATTTCGATAAAATTATTTGTTTTTAAGATAATTCGAAAAGTACTGGTTATTGTTTGATGCCTTGCGGGTTACGGTAATCTCATAATGTTCACATACTCCTATTTATTTCGTCGAAATTGGAAGAGGGCGTATCTTATTACGTACGGAAAGGTGAATATGGAAATACCGGGTGCTCAGAGCGAATGTATTAAAATAATTTTTACACTTTTTAAATTTTTTTTTTGTAAAAATTATTTTAGTACATTTGTTCCGAGCACCCGGTATTTCCATATTTACCTTTTCGTACGTAAAAAGATACGCCCTCTTTCAATTTCGACGAAATAAATAGGAGTATGTGAACATTATCAGATTACCTAAGCCGCATAGGCATCAAACAATAACCAGTACTTTTCGAATTATCTCAAAAACAAATGATTCAATCGAAATTTTACAGGAAACAAAAAATACCCAAAAATGATTGAACACTTGAAGGAAAATAGATAGGAAGTCATTAGCGCACGTACAAACAAAATATGGGTGTAAGTGTGAACTTGACCCCCAGTATCTTGAATATTTGACAGTTATTTTCTGTTTTGTTTTACTCACACGATGTAACTCTTTGTGCTGAAGTAATGTACCAATTTTGAGATTGATATCTTATCAAATACGCGAGTAATTAGAAAAAAAAAACAGTTTTTAATTTCCAACTTTGACACCCTGTATACCGAATATGAAGGGCTAAAATGAAAAATGATATTTAGATACTCATATTGTTTTTGTTCAAGGAATATGTGGTTAATGGATTGACCTCCTTTTAGCGGACACCCTGTATATACCTATATGCCTTATAAACATTGATTTTTTATATTTATCTGACATTAGGGATGATGATATGTCAAAGATCCAATGGATAAACTTTTATATACACCTAATAACTATACTTATATTAAACTCATGGTGCATATACCATATAGTAGATATAATGGTAATCATAATTGCAAGATTCTTAAGATCAGTATCTAGGATTCCTCCGATGGTGACAAGGTTCCTATACGTACAGCAGTATTCATAACAATTAGTGTATTTCATTGTATTTTATTTTTTTGTATTATGTATCCTATCACTTTGGCTGCCGAAGCAACCCTCATAAGCCTTCTAAGGGCTTGTGAACGTTAAAGTGAAAGAGGACTTACATTTTATAGTGGATTTGGAACCACATGTGGGGAGCTGAAATGCTACCACGAACCAATTTCTCATTGAAAAATCTATCTTCGTTTTCTTGAAATTCTGCTAAATTTCTTATGTATTTGATATCAACGATATATGTGGGAAGATTGGTCATGTTAAGGGCACTTGCAACAAGATTTATCTTTTGATATATGATGCCATGAAATACAGTTCTCAACACACTAAATGGACCACTCATAATTTGACTCTATTTCGAAGACCAGTATTTTTTGAAAAAATTGACCGATCTTCATGCGGTTTTCGATATCAGATGTGATGTTTCATCGGCTTCAAAGAGAGCTAGAACACTCTGAAAAAGTCCGCAGAATTAAACTTACACAGGGTGTAAACTGGAACCATTACACTAAGGGCTACATTTTCAATGCTGCCAGAACTCCACCACCACCAGACCAGAATTTTTTTCTGATCAAAAGTCAGTCATATTATGATACACTGTGACCTCATCTTGGGACGTTTTCGTGATTTCCTGAATTTTTTCTCTAGAACTCCACTTGAGCTGGCTATTGGGATGAACTGTTCTCATGTTTTGTGGAGGACAATGAAAGACGAAAAAAGCACTATTGTGGAATATACAGGATGATGAGAAAATAGAACAAAATCTCATTGCAGTAAAAAAAATCAAAAATGGTGACTAAAACCATGGCTCATTCGATTCATTATATTCAGAAATGGCCTTCTCGGTATCCATTATTTATATTAGACTATTAACTCCAGACGTTTTCGAAAATTCGCCTCAAATTGAAATACAGGATGAAAATTTTCAATTCAAACTTGTTTCCTGATATCGAAGATTCTTATCAACTGATTTCCAATATTTATTGCCCAAATATGAGACACAGAGTATTGTTGTTCAATATACTAAGTGTTTTACAACTTATCTGACGAATTTCAACCACAACTATGATATTACATAAGAAGTCTATCACAAAAAAATTTTATAGAAGTTAAACGAGATGGGAAATATGATTTGTAACACTTTATATCCACTGAAACTATGCGAAAAGGGCTCTATTGGCGAAATATGACATTAGTGAATTCTTCAGCATTATGAAGATCCAACTAGAAAGTCGTATATCCTAAATCTCAGTACTTGGTAGGCCTTCCCGATTTAACAAAACCTCATGAATTCGGTTTGGCATAGATTCTATGAGGTTGTTGATGAAGTCTATTGATATTGCCTCCCATTCATCTGATACAGCTTGGATAGGGTTGTCATTATTTTGGGGTGCCTCGCCTTCTCGATGGGTTAAGTTTCATTCGGCTCCACACATGTTCAATCAAATTCAAATCTGGAGATAATGCTGGTCACCACATTCTTCTAACATTATTTCTAGAGTTCGTAATTTGTCAGGTAAGTTGTGAAACATTCAGTATATTGAACAACAATACTCTGTGTCTCATACTTGGTCAATAAATATTGGGAATCAGTTGATAAAATGATAAAAATCATCGATATCAGGAAACAAGTTTGGATTGAAAATTTTCATCCTGTATTTATATTAGAGGCGAATTTTCGAGTTAATAGTGTAATAAAAATAATGGATATCGAGAAGGCCGTTTCTGAATATACTGAATCGAATGGGCCATGGTTTTAGTCGCCATTTTTGTTTTTTTTACTGAAATGAGATTTTGTCCTATTTTCTTATCATCCTGTATATTAAAAAAAATTGCTTCTTCCCAATAGTCAGCTCAAATGGAGTTCTAGAGAAAAAAATCAAGAAATGCAAGACTTTCGAAAAAAAATCGAATTTTTGTTCCAATGACCAACTAAGGAGAAATCACGAAAACGTCCCGAGATGAGGTTCCAGTGTATCATAATATGACTGACTTTTGATCAGAAAAAAATTCTGGTCTGGTGGTGGTGGTGGAGTTCTGGCAGCATTGGAAATGTAGACCTTAGGGTAATGGTTCCACTATACACCCTGTGTAAGTTTTGTTCTGCGGACTCTTTCAGAGTGTTCTAGATCTCTTTGAAGCCGATGAAACATCACATCTGATATCGAAAACCGCATGAAGATCGGTCAATTTTTTCAAAAAATACAGGTCTTCGAAATAGAGTCAAATTATGAGTGGTCCATTTAGTGTGTTAAGAACTGTAATCTTTGAATATGTCAAAATAAAGATTCAATTTCATTTTTTATGGTAGAAACTTGTTTAACCTCATAATGAATACCTTGGGAGGCTTCAACAATTGAAGATATGGAGTAATTCAATAAAAAAAATCAATAATCTCAAGATTCCTAGACAACACTATCTCCCAAGCATGAAAATAAGAAAGTGTCAAATAGAGAACACTGAACTCGGTCAGACGGGCCCATGTGGAAACAGATGTGCACAACTGCTCACTTCTCCCCTAGGTGTCTTATTATTTACAACCATAAATAAATGATAAAATGAATACCTATTTTTTAGACAGTGTAAATGAAATAGCTGAAACAATACCTGAACCTGAAACAGATTTTGAATTAGAAATTTATCCAGTTCAATCAACTATCGAGGTTTTTCCGACGATATATCTAAATAAGCTGAAGAAAGTAATTTCTGGACTGAAAAATAAATCTTCGGGAGATCATATAATAACAATTGAACTTATGAAAGATCTATTCTGTGTGATTAGGTATCCACTTCTATATCTGGTGAATACTTCTCTTCAAACTGGCAAGATGCCAACAGAACTGAAATGCAGCTTGATCGTACCTATACCAAAAGTTAGATGTCCAAAAAAACCTGAAGATCTCTGGCTTATAAATCTATTGCCGGTTGTGGAGAAGGTGATAGAAATAGTTGTCTGTGAGGAGCTGAGCTGTTACTTGAGGCAAAATGAAATTCTATACGTTGGACAATCAGGATTCCGAGAAAACCATTCTTGCGAAACAGCATGTCAATATGTTTGTTCAAAATGGAGGAAAGATATCGATGAAGGGAACGTTGTGGTCAGTGTTTTTGTGGACTTGAAACGAGCGTTTGAAACTATTGATCGAAAAATGTTGCTGAATAAATGTGAACAGTATGGAATGAAGGGTGTCGTGTTGAAATGGTTAAGAAATTATCTTGAAGACCGATTTCAAACAACCAAATATCAAGATCACTGTTCGGAAAAAGTTTGAACTTGATATGGGGTGCCTCAAGGCAGTATATTGGGTCCGCTATTTTTCATTTTGTATATCAACGATTTAGGCAATGCTTTACAAAATTCTTATGTCAATATGTTTGCTGACGATACCCTGATTTCGATATGTGGAAAAAATCATGAGGAAGTAGTTAATCAAATGAATGCAGAACTCAAAGAATTAAGTAACTGGTTGAAATATAATAGGTTGAAGCTTAATGTAAAGAAAACGAAATGTATGGTTCTCGGCTCAAAAAATAACTGTAAGTCATTCTCAAACGAAAACCACGTTATTCATATAGAACAGGAAGTGATTGACTTTATGCAGGAGATTAAGTACTTAGGGGTACAAGTAGATTCATATTTGGGAAATTAGGGAAAAAAATTGGATATTATGGAAGAATATCTAGAAAACTAACATTTTGGGCTAGAAGAGTAGTATATAACACCATTATTTATCCACATTTTCAATATTGTATGTCTTTACTTACCTCTTGTACAAAAAGTGATATACAGAGAATTCAAAAGCTGCAAAATAAGTGTATGAGAATATTACTCCAATGTGATAGACACACAAAGATTACAGATATGCTTAGGATGCTGAAATTCCTAAATGTTGAACAAATGATCGAAGAATCAAATTTAGTACTGATATACAAAATCATGAACAAACAGGCTCCTATGTATCTGCAATCTTTCCTTGTGAAAAGATCGGAAATGCATAGATATAACGTCAGGTCAAGAGAAAATTTCCATATAGCAAGATGTCATTCGAATGTTCTACAAAAATCTCTTTTCGTCCAGGGATTGCATCATTTCAACAGCCTTCCACTTATTGTCAAAGTTGCACCAAATGTTAAAATTTTCAAGAATATGTTACAAAAAGTTTACTTCAAGATTTAGTATAGTTTATACGTATAGTAAATAGTTATTTCAAGAATTTATACTTAAGCCATATAGGTAATGTTGTCATCAATAACGTCATTGAAGGTTGGGAAGTGTCACATTATATACCTCTACTTCCCGCCCTCACTTCCCGCCCCTCACTACTTCCCACCCTCACTCATGTAATAATTCAGGTATGTTCAGAACGAAACATTTATTAATTTTGATCGAAATATGGTGGTTGTAAATAAAATAGTATACAAACCTCGGTAGGGAGTTTCATTCCTGTCTCGAGATTATAGCTAACCTCGACGCTTTGCGTCTTGGTTAACTAACTAATCTCACGACAGGAATGAATCACTTCCCACCTCAGTGTGTAATAAACTATTTCGCAAAGAGCCTGTCAAAAAATGGTCGCCATTTGAATAATAATAGTTAGACATGATTATGTGATTTTGCCAACATATCTTATTCCCATATACAATATATCATTCTAGTTACCAAAACTTTGCGATTCTAAATTGTATTTATCTGAATCACCTGGGGTCTTAGATTGATTCACGCCCGCTCATGGACACCTAGATGCAATATAAATAGTGACAAAAACGAATTAAGTTGTCGTAAAAACTTTTGAAAATGCCACGCTCTCATCTAGAATTGTCTCAGATATCCATTTGAAAATTCAAAGTCGGAACCATTTTCGGTGAAACAGGAAGTTATCGGAAAGTGAAAAATTTGTGAAAACTCTTCTCTTCAAATACCATAATAGATTCCGACTTACCAATTTTATTAATCTGGTGGGTTCATAGGAAAACTGGAGAGAAGAAGAGCAAATTTGTGCAGTGATGATGGATTGAATCATCAACTGTTTTTTTATTGAACTGCTGGGCATGAAAACCTTATAGAGAAACATGACACGTGTTTTTTTTTGTTGAAGAAAATTGTTAACGATATGTCTTGTTTCAGTTGTCACAACTTTGAATACAAAATTCAGAGCTACCCTGCAAGAATGTAAGCAGCTCAATAACACTGGACTTTTGAATAAAGTTGGCACCACTACTGCAACGGCCGACAAGATTTTATATAATCATGCAATTCAGATGGTAAATAACGTTTTTTGCCATAATATTGGATAGATCTTCTTCAGATTCGTTTTTTCAGTGTCAATCAGCAGCTTTAGATGAGTTATTCGGCAACCCTGAAGAGTGTTTCCAAAGGTATCAGACCGCTCAGATCCTCTTGCATAGTTTATCGCAGCAAGTGCAGAACCAGAAGGATAAAATGCTGCTTACCAAATGTAAGTTTCTTGAGAATATTTTATTCAGTTGAAGAGAACTACACCAACTGTGGAAACACATAATTTCACTGTTAATTATTCCAGATTTATTGGGATTTTCTCTCCTCGTTTCTAGAGAGAAGAGAAAATCCCAGAAAATCTGGAATTATGAATATACTCGAATAACCTACAGACAGTATTAAACTAATTTCTGACTAAACCAGACGTTTTTTTTCTATCATGACTTTGATATTTTTCTTAAACTACGAAATAGCCACAATGCTCAAAGTGGAATGAAATGGGAAATAAATACAAAATGCTCAAAGTCATTTCCACACAATGTTCATAAAATGAACAACAATGGTAGATTTCGGGAGAAAAACTACTTCCCTGGCTAATGCCACGCAGGACATTGTTTTTCTTCCGAAATCTACCATTATTGTTCATTTTATGAACATTGTGTGGAAATGACTTTGAGCATTTTGTATTTATTTACCATTTCATTCCACTTTGAGCATTGTGGCTATTTTGTAGTTGAAATTACGCCAGTCGGGCAACCAGCCACTCCCGTATGGAAAATTTAGTTTTGGAGTGATTCTTTCCTCTGTTCTACTCAGATGGCGTTACTTTCAATTTGTCGATGAAAGACGCCTCGGGGTGAATATAATGCCGACTTAATTTTTGTTTGGCTAGGCTTCGCTGAGTCGGCGGTCTTAGGACTGCTGGCTGGAGACTACACTGCACTGATGAGAGTCAAAGAGCTCGAAACCGGTCTGTGGTTGTCTAGCGGCCTGGCTAAATCGAAATCAATAGGCATTCAGGAAAGAATACACTTGTATCAGTATTCGTTTTTACGTGTCGATGCATAGATTTCGGGAGGATGTAATTCAATGTCCTGCGTGGTATTAGCCAGGGAAGTAGTTGTTTTTCTCCCGAAATCTACCATTGTTCATTTTTTGAACATTGTGTGGAAATGACTGAGCATTTTGTACTTATGCGATATTTTTTATGTTTAGTCGCCAATGTTGATTTTTTTGTAGCTATCACAGCAGTTTTTTTCAAATGGATCACCCTGTATGTAAATATTTTTTCGGGTAGCTTTCCTTTCGAATTACATTGATATTTAGTTTGGCGTGTCTTTGACTGGTTGTAGACATATATGATGAAATTATAATTGAAATGTCTGAGTTCAATTCGTTAAGTTGTGAGAAAACTAATAAAAGGTGTTGCAATAGTCCTCCATCTGTTTGACAATAACCTAACCTGTCAACGAATCTCCTGAAGGAAGAACCTTCTTAAAAAAATATTTGATTATTTCAAAACTGCTTGAGGGGTTTCGTTGATAGGCTAGGTGTTTTGTAACAAGTAAACGAGTCAAACTCAAATACCAGATATCTTTTAATCATTAACATTTCATCTTACAACGACCAATCACATACACTTTATATCAACAAGTTAGAAGAATAGCATTTCGAAAAATTATTTTACAAACAGGGCAATCCATTTGAAATAACTGCTGTCGGCGCCATATTTACGACAATATGATAGCTATTAAAAATCAACATTGGCTACTGACTAGAACAGAAAACATGAGAGTGTTGAATGAAAAAAAAAACTTCTGGTTTAGTAATAAATTAGGTGTTTCCACACATATGCCCAACCCTGTATATTAACATATTTGGAGCTGAGGAGAGAAATATCAGAAAATTAATAAGTGAACGAGAAAATCTAGTTGTTAGTTTCATAAATAAATTATTAAAAAATTATTTGCCTCCATTGGATGATTAAACTTCATCCTTGGGAGTAAAAGTTGCACTTTCTTTCCTTGATATACAATAGTTCATAATATAACAAGAGTTGTAAAACGCATATTACTCACGAAGTGGAGAAAGTTATCTCCACAAGTGCGTAATTGCTTCACAACTCGAGAAATGTACTATACTTTTCCTAAGAATATACTATATTTTCTTCAGGAGAGTACAGATATTGTGTTAAGACTCAACTGAAATTGAGAAATATCAACAGAAAATAATGATTTTCAGAAAATATGACTTTCCTGCTTTCAGTTTCGATTGATAAATTGATTTATTGATGAAAACATAATTACCTATCTAGATACTGACATTAACTAAAATTGACACATCGCCTAAGAAACAAAACAAAGTCATCTATCAACCTACTTAGTGATTGACCATTTCACCTATTAGAAAAAAATAGTATTTTCTTCATTGATTCTGATTCAATTGAAATCTATAAAATATATATATTTGCAGATAAGGAAGCTGTAGAAAAGCGATTATACGTCCTCCAACAACAAGGTTATATCTATGCTACAGATCTCAGCTAAATAAAATCTTAAGGTAACGAAATATTTAGTTCTAAGAAGTTGATTAATATTGTCAGTCTTTCTTGCTTTTCTCATAATATAAATTATATGCTGTAGTAGAATCTACTCATTCTTTTATGATACATGTTTGACATAATGGAAATGTAGTTATTATAGAAATTGTTTATTCAATATTTAATATAATATTTACCTGGCATGCTGGTTTATGGAACAAACAATGTAAAGTACGGCTTAATTCTTTGCCAGTTAATTGGTGAAAAATTATCTTTGATAATAATGTTACCTGATGAAATTGAAAATGACTAAGAAGGGATTTGTTTTCAGTTGTTTACTAAATGATGTAATTACTGTAAATAGGCTGCGATGAAGAATGAGTGTCTTTGAATAGAAAAGTGTGAGTTTAATTGGATGTTATTACATGAGTTCGAAAAAATCATAATAATTTTTCGAAAGTTATTCGAATTAATCGAAAAATGCTTGCCTTCTGTCAACATTTTCATATCATTTTTATTTGACAGATATAATTCAATCTTCTGTGGTGAGTTATCCCCAGCAGAGCAGAGAATTTTAATTCATAAAACGAGATATAAATTCAAAATTTTCTATATCAATTTCGATTGTTCAATTTGACGTATACTGTAAGAATGATATATAATTTTCAAATTATCTGCATGACATTTTGCAAGTGTTGCCAATGAAAGAATGTTTGATTTAATATCCCGAATTAGATATAACCTGGGCCACATTCTGTGTAAAATGGTCTATTTCGTGAATTTCGTCGCTGATTTGACGGCTTCAAAGTGACGGGCAAAGTCAACTTACGTAATTCTGTTTTCAAAATCCCATCGTCACACAAAATGACGCGTTCCCTAACTGGTTACGTAAATATCCTTTCAGAAAGTAAAGTTTATACCAGAAAATACTCGACCCAATACCCTCCGAGTTGTATTTTCATACCATATATTGTTTAGTTAAATAAATACATTGGATCTGGAGCACCTGCTTATTTATGAAAATTAGAACTGTTCCTAATTCTCTTATCAACTAAATTATTATGTTGAATAGAATAGCGACCGTTGAATATGATTCTTGGTGTTAGGGGGAATTCGGTCGAAATGTTGATGAAAACTAATTGTTAAATTGTCGACGTTTCGAATTTTTGTTGTTTCATCTTCAGGACAGTACAAAACCAAGAACATACATATTAACCCTTTGACTCACGGTGTCTACAATTGTAGACACTAACTTCCCAGTATCTGTGGTAACAACAACTCGCTTCGTTTCGCGTTTCTACAACACTGAAGACATTCGTTGATGTCACTACTCATATGTTAGCCAGTTAGCGGTGGCATCTGTCAGATACAAGTAGTAATATTTACCGCAGCGTGCATCGTCCCAACTTCGTTTTACATTCCATCCAGGTAAGGTCTTATAAATTCTACAATTATATCGAAACTTTCTGGCAATCCAATCAGTGCTATGTTATTTTTTAATCATAAATGATTCATCTTGATGCCTCCATATTTATTTTCGTGTAATATTCCGCCTAGGGATTGTGACTGGTCCCTAAAATCTCGTGTCTACAATTATTGTAGACGTTTTTTTTTTATCGCTTGGAGCGCACGAAAGGGAATCCCTATAATGTTCATAGAACATCGCGCGTTCCTAGGGAGGATAGGGACAGGAGGTAGGTATTGGAATTTTTTTGAACTATACACTGAGGATATTTCATGCTTTAGATATTTAGATATGGCACTCATAAATTCGTAGACAGAGTACAGAAAAGACTCGCAGCTTGGTCGGTCAGCAAAAAAGATTCGAGAGTTATTACACATCAGAATGGAAAAAGAGTAGATGCTTATCGAAAATGTCAAAAATGTCTTTTCTAGAAAAAAAGTAGGGTAAAGAGGCTGTCAAAAAACGACTTCCCAGTTCAGCCGTGTCGCGGTAAGGCATCTTGTAGATGTACAGTTGGACAATGTGAATCACATACCAGAGCACACTGGAGTGTTCCTTCCTGGGAAAAGTAAAAATATTGGTAGGCAAGGGCAAGTCTCGATGGATTTGGGCCTTCAGAAAAATCACAACAATTTCAAGACATTTCACATAGTTTGATTTGGATTGAACAGTCCTTTCCATATTTGATTTCATGTAACCATTGTTTATTAATTTTTTCAATAAATATGATTATGTTCCATTGACTACAAATGTCTACAATAATTGTAGACACTTTTTTTTTTCGTACTTCTAGGAGTGTTGATTCGAAAAAAAATTTCAAGGTGTTTACAAATATCATATTTTGACGATATATGAACAAAAACAAAATTTCATCTCTTGAAACAAGAACTCGTGAGTCAAAGGGTTAAAATGATATTTTAAAATGAGGGGTTTTGACAAAAACCAAATAAATTATGTAAAATAACAATCGTTGAGAATAAAACACTTCTAACACTTCACATAAAACAACCTTAAAATCTCTTAAAAAAAACATCGCATCATAAGTGCAATCTTACCCTTATATGTGGCTGAGACGAAATGCGGCTTAAACGAAATGAGGCTGAGACGAAGTGAGTCTGAAACGAGATGTGGCTGAGACGAAATGTAGCTAAGACGAAATGGACACGAAATTAGGCTGAGACGCAATGTGGGTAATTTCGTGGTCATTTCGTCTTAGCCACATTTCGTCTCAGCCACATCTCGTTTCAGCCTCATTTCGTCTAAACCACATTTCGGCTCGGCCACATTTCGTCTCAGCTAGAGTTCCTGAATGTATTTGACACTGCTGTTTTGACGTTTTTTCTATATCAGAGTACGGACACTAGACAAGCAGTGACAATCAAACATAACCACAAACGATTTTGAAGCAAATCATATGTTTAGCTAGACAAGGACTAGAATATGTTTTTCATTTAGATAAAGGATCCTCGCATCTTCTTTCCTCTACAAGTCCTGGGAAGAGTACATCCCATATATCTTTCTCTGTCTTTGATTTTGGTATGAGAGTGCATAGCGTCTCCTCGAGTGGGTAAAATGGTAGGATAAATTGATTAGAAAATTATTTCTTTTCGAAATATTGAATCATAAGGCTGAAGAACCTCAATGGAGGTCGATATCAAGTTGGTATGTACATATATACGAAGGAAATACATAAACTATTCCTATGAAATAAGTCTCTTATATGTATTCGAAAACCTTGCAAATTTTGTGGCCTGAACCTATATTCCATGCCGGCTGCATCATATTCTTTTTCCATTTTTGTCGAATTACGTTATCCTATGAAAATTCGAATAGAGTGAATTGATTTTCCGTGTTCTCACTATTGGAAACTGCACAAACTTGCATCTTTCTCCTAATTCTCTCAATTCGTCAAACCTTTGAAATTTATGTCATGTACGTCCGTGTACTGTCAGTTCCCGCCTTTTCCATCAATTTATTTGTGGTTATGTCTGATTGTCAGTGCTTGTCATAGTGTCCGTACTCTGATGTACAAAAAACGTCAAAACAGCAGTTTCAAGTACATTTAGGAACTCTAGTCTCAGCCACATATAAAGGTAAGATTGCAGTTATGATGCGATGGTTTTTTTTTTCGAAATCAATGTTGTTTTCTGTCAAGTGTTAGACATATATCATTCTAATATGTATGTTCTAGTTTTTTTACTTCAGTGCCCTGAAGATGGAACAATACAGTTTCGAAGCGTCGACAATTTAACAATTGGTTTTCTTCAACATTTCGACCGAATTCCTGCTAACTCAACACCAGAAAAAAATTATTATGGTTATTCAAACTCATGGCTAAAACTCTATTACGAATTAGTGTTATCTATCTTTATGAACTTCCAAAATATTGTGTACTGATTGATTTGAAGTGATTTGTATGAATATCGTTTATTGTAATATTAGTTGTAGAATTCCCCATTTTATAAAGTGATATCAGAGTCCTCGTGTTATCGGTATGTAATTTTATGTCTGATTTATATTCGTTTGAGTATATTTGTTGAATAAATATTTACTAATTGAACATATTCGAATATCTGAATGCGTACTCTAGCAAATTGCAATTTAGTCAGATGTGAAGATTCTGGAATTCCGGTCAATACCATTCTCTTGACCAGATGACTCACAAAAAACCCCAAGTTGTCATATGCAGGTGAATCTAAAATGGAAGAAAGCATTTTCATCAGTACAATACCAAATGTCAGATTTCAGCATTAGGGGATAATAATCCAATAGCGAATTCCATTGGTAAAACTGGCTCGCACTGAGTGCATATTTTGTATTCCATAAAACTGGTGTCGGGTTTTGAATTCCATTGGAAAACTGGTTCACATGGTTTAGAACTCAGTGCAACAATTCTCGCACGAGCTCTAATAGGTCATGCGAAGTCATTGCAGTTTGTTAGTGGCAATCCAATCAGAATCATCTAATAGTGATGAAAAGTTGTAGGTTTCAAGAAAATAAAGAAGATTACTTTCCAGAATTCATAATTTTGTTGAAAGTATTTTGCGAATTCAATGATGAAGTACTTATTAAAAAATGAAGAGCTCAAAATTATTCCCATGAAACAGCTACTTCGTTTCAAATTGAAGTTAAGAAATAATTACAGGATGCGGACAAGTTATAAACAAAGACAAAACAACTTATCGGATTCAACCTCCAACAATAAGTTTATCATATTATTTCGTATTTCATTGGGAATGCACCATTTCACATTTTGGAGAGCACTGAACTAGTGCCGGTGCAAAACTGGTGCAAAACTGGTGCAAAACCAGTGCAATACCAGGTTTAGGAATGGAATTTGCTATAAGGTAATACCACGAGTCCTCCAAATATCAATACATCATCCAGCAAACTTGCATGTCGACAAGTATGAAAACAAAGTCAAGAAAGGAATGTAACTGATTCAATTTGAAGAACGAGCCGGGATGGTTTTTTTTGCAACCAATTTCTGAAAAAAAAAACGATTCATTGTCTTCTGCCAGTTATCAAATCAATAATTAATTCATTTCATTCGCGGTCGTCAAGGTCATTATATGACGTTGACATTAGAAAGTACAGGAAAACATGTCTAACAGCGTATTCGTCTGGTTGCACTATTG